ATGATAAAGAGGTAGGGGCTTAGGGGACATCCCTGTCGAATCCCTGCGGCTACTGTACCTTGCGTTGTAGAGTTTAGGGTTTAGAGTTTAGGGTTTAGGGTTTAGGGTTTAGTGCTTGGGGGCTTGGGCTTCAGGGCTTTAGGTTTCACGGCTCAGGGCTTTAGGCGTCGGGACTTAGGTTCAAGATGTTGTTGATGTCCATCCTCGTCTTGCTACCTTTCATCCGGCAGAAGCAAAAGGTCGTTTTCAAGATGCTCACTTGCAAACCAAACCCTCAAACCGAGACCACCGAAGCGCATGGAAGTATAGTGCAGATTCCTTGGCTGATGCCGGCCGGCACAAGACAAGCGCTTACCCATCAGGCAACTTAACATTGGGGATGTCGAATTTAATGTTAACCCTGAACCCTAAACCCTAAACCCCTAACCCTAAACCCCTAACCCCTAACTCCTTAACCCTAAACCCCTAAACCCCCAACCCTAAACCCTAAACCCCTAACCCTGAACCCAGCTCTTTAGGCTGCTTTCTGCTTCAGCTTCATGAGGTTTTCAGGTGCCAGGGCTTAGGGGCTTAGCAGCTTTGTTCAGGGTTTAGGGTTTAGGGGTTTAGGGGTTTAGGGTTTAGGGTTTAGGGTTTAGGGGTTTAGGGGTTCAAGGGTTTAGGGTCTAGAGGTTTACGGGTTTAGGGTTTCGGGTTTACGGACCAAAAAACTAGCAAAAGCTTCCACCGACAGCAGGGGAGCTGTCCTTCCCCGCTCCCCTCGTGGCTACAAAGCTGCTGAGATTCAGGAAGGCGGCCACAGTCAAACGGAGTTTCCGAAACCCTTCGCACCCTAAAAGCCCAAAATAATGGTTTAGGGTTTAGGGTTTAGGGCTTAGGGTTTAAGCCCTACGAAAACACGTTGTAAGACCTGAGAGAAAACTCATGCACAAAATCCTAGAACACCTCTCTTAACTCAGCCCCAAGCCCTGCACCTAAATCTTCTAGAACCCCATGGGGTGTGGGGTCTAGGGTTTAGGAGTAGGATTCAGGGCCCCTTATCTCAACACCAAGACGTCGCAGGACCTGATTCAAACTCAAAACCCATAACCTTGAAGGAGGGTGTTGCAAACCCGCAGACCTAACCTACAACTCTAGATCCCTGAATCCCGAAACCCCCCTCAACCCTCAATCCCAAAACCCCTAAAAAAAGTCGACTTCATGCGTGTCAACCTAGACCCAAGTGGGTCGGGGATCCATGCTAAACGCCATACCCAAGCTCAAAACAAAAAAACGCAGCCCGAAACCGGGAACACAAAACCTTGCATGACATCCGAAACCCTCAAACCCCAAACCCTAAAACCACGAACCCTAAAGCCATAAGCCCCAAAACTCTGAACCTTTCAGCCCTAAACCCTAAACCCTAAACCCTAAACCCTACGTCGTCAGGGGGTAAAGCTCGGAAATCCTGATCCCTCGCAACCGAATCCCCAGCCCCGAATGCTAAGGCTTTGGGGGTTTAGGGCTTTGGGGTTTCAGGGTTTAGGGCTTTTTTGGCTTTGGGGTTTGGGGGTTTGGGGCTTTGGGGGTTTAGGGTTTTGGGTTTAAGTTTTTTCGAGCTTTCGGGTTGGGGCTTTTGGGGCTTTTGGGGCTTTGGTGCTTGAGGCTCACGGACTCTAGGGGTTTTAGGGTTTGGAGTTGAGGGCTTTAGGGTCTAGGGTTTAGGGCTTTAGGGCTTTAGGGTTTTAGGGTTTGGGAGCTTGGGGCTTTAGGGTTTTAGCTTTGGGGGTTTTAGGGTTTAGGGCTTGGGGCTTGGGGGCTTGAGGCTTTCGGGCTTAAGGCTGTCGGCAGATAGCCACCCTTGGACCGAGTATACTAGAAGAAGCTATTCCTAAATGCCCTTTCACATTGTGCTTCGGTGAAAGACTACTTTAGTATTCCTTTGGGTGATACCCCAAGCCCTTACCCTGAAACTTTAAACCCTAAACCCTAAACCCTGAACCCTAAGCCCTAAAACCCTGAAACCCTGCACCCTGAGCCCTAAACCGCATTCCGGCGTTCGAAGACCCCGTGTGCTCACCCACCGGCAGCTAAAACCTCCGGGCTGCTTCGCCGGAGCGTGGGCCCGCCGCATCCCCGTCGAAGCCCCCATACTTGGGAGCTTCTCAAAAGCTGCTTAAGGGTTTAGGGTTTAGGGTTTAAGGGCTGAGGGTTTAGGGCTCCGGGGCTTTAAGGCTGCAGGGTGTTTTGGCTTTTTTCTTTTGGGTTTTAGGGGGCGTAGGGTTTCGGGCTTACGCTTCGGGCTTGTCGGCTTTGGTATTCTTGGGTTCAGAATTTAGACTTCCTGAGCTCAGGTTGAGGGTTGCTGTCAATTTTTGCGAGGCTCTTCAAGTCCGACATTCCGGCTTGGGGGATTGGCAGTTTAAGATTTTTTGCAGTTTAGGGGGTCTTTAGGGTCGTTAGTAAACCCTAAACCCCTAAACCCCTAAACCCTAAACCTTGGGGTTTAGGGCTGAAGGTAAATTTTTTGGGTTGCGGTTTCAGGGAGCGACGGGCGTCGCAACTTAATTTTGGGGTTTTGGGCCCCCCGCATTCGATCGCTACAGAGGACCACGCCCATCTGTACGGTGTCTGCTCCATCGGGGAAGGTCCGAGCTTGGGGTTTAGGGCTTAGGGCTTAGGGTTTAGGGATAGGGTTTAGGGCTTAGGGTTTAGGGTTTGGGGTTTAGGGTTTTAGGGTTTACCTGAAACCTACCAAAACCCACTTGTTTGGAGGTTCTGATTTAAAACCCGAATATGGGATTTAAAGGGACTCTACCAAAAAAGTAGGTTCTGGTGGGTTAAGGTAGGGTCTACCGCGATTTCGGATGACTAGGGTACAAGGTTTAGGATTTAGGATATGGGGCTTCGGGTCTCGGGCCTAGGGTTCAGAAGGACTAGGGTTTAGGGTAGAAAAGGATTAGGGGTTAGGGTAGAGGGATTAGGGCTTCGGATAGAGGGATTAGGGTTTAGGGTAGAGGGATTCCCAACCATAAACCCTAAACCCTAACCCTAAACCCTAAACCTTAAGAAACCTTGAGGCTACCTAAACTCCTAAAACACCAAAGAAGGAAAAGATGTAAACATGCCTACTAAGACCTCACCAGCGTGAAAGCTAAATAAACGCCCAAAAACACTAAAACAACCCTGAAGCTCTTGAAAACCCCGAAGCAAACATAAGCCCGAAGCTCGAAAACCTAAACTCGAAAAGCCCCGAAACCGTAAACCCTAAACCCTAAACCATAAATACAAACCCCGAGTTCGCTCTGCTTCCCCGGAGCCTTTGCTCTAGGCAGCGCTATCCTCGGACTCGTCAGACTCCGAAGCCACCTCTTGAAGAGGGGATTTAACATTTGCGGTAAAGTTTTGAGGCATGTTATATATTAAACAGGTTTTGAGGGCCCAAAGCGCCTGCGCAGGGCAGGAATATTGTAGGCCCCAGCACCCGCCATGGGTGCGTATGCCGGCTACGGGCTAGCAGTGCATAACGGCAAGTGTGCCATGCGCAGGCCGGGCATTCAGGTTTTGCCTTCACCCAACATGATGGCGATCATGGGCTGTAAGGTGGCCATGTTGTGAGAATTGGTTCGGAGGACATGCTCGCATACTACACGACAAATGCTTTTGCAACTGGCTCTAAGAATTCGCTGGCCTTTCAGCTACGCGGCATCAAGCAGAACAGATGCACTTCACCCGATGTAATGGCGTTTATGGGCTCGAAGGACATGCTGTGCAGCGTGGCCACATTGAACATAGGTTTGGAGGACAGGCTCGCACAACTCACCATAGAGGAGTCTGCGACTGGCTTCAAGAAGTCGCTGGCATTCCAGCCGCACGGCATCAAGCAGAGCAGAGGCTCGTCAGGCGAGGGCATCTGGATCACCAAACGGCAACCTAGCAGCGCATGCACTTCACCCGACGTGGAGGCCTTGATGGGCTCGAAGGACACACTCTGCAAGGTGGTCATGTTGAACATAGGTTTGGAGGACATGCTCGCATGCTTCACCGTAGTGGCTGGCTTCAAGAAGATGCTGGCTTTCCAGCCGCGCGGCATCAAGCAGAGAACAGGCTCGCCAGGCGAGGGCATCTGGATCAACACAAGGTTTGGAGGACATGCTCGCACACTTCGCTATGGAGGAGTCTGCGGCTGGCATCAAGCAGAGCAGAGGCTCGACAAGTGAGTGATGCTAGAGCGCTCTGTATTTGAATTTGGAGGTCTTATGGCCTTCATGCTATTTTGAGTTTGATGTCCCGATATCACCTCGATGAAGGTGTTTAGACATCTTGGGTATCTCACCGTGTAGGGATGGCCTCATCTGACACCCATGAGGAAGATCTTGCACTGCTTAGGTCCGATATGTGGATCGTATATTGTCTGGTGCTTTGATCGCCGACTACCGAATACAAAGCATCCTTAGTTTGCCGTGCATTTTTTACGCGGCGTCCATGTGCCATCTTTTGGTTTTGTTGTGGGGATGGGACAACTTTTCCGTTTGCTGGTTACATCCCACCCTGTCTGGTGAGCGCATACTATGTTTATAGATTTCTGCGCCACCTCCCACGTTTAATTACTGCACGTCTTAGGCTGCATCCGACCTGGACTCCGTACCTTGAAACTGAAAGTGAAAGTGACAGGTTTTGAAGTGTATTACACTACTATGCCCTAAACCCCAAGAAGGGTTTGCTTCTAATTTTGCGACATCTATACTGAGAACGTCATGGGGTTTCGGTTCAGAGGCTTTGCTAGCCTGGAAAGCGAGAGCTAAAAGCTTAATGTAGGGTCCTTAATGATTAGAATAGGGTTTTGGGGTGTTCCTCATTATAACTATACTCTAATTATTAAGGCCCCATATTAGGGTTTTGGGGATTGGGCTTTGGCGTGTCGGGTTTATGTCGGGATTCCGGGCTTCAGGGAAGTTTGGCAGACCTAAAGGCTGATAGGGTTTAGGGCTTCGGGGTTGGGTGTTAGTTAAGGTTTTTTTGGTGGTTTATGAGATTTCAGGAGGTGAAGCTTTGTCCAGTAACAATATTGTGCTAAGTCTCGGTATTGGTACTAGACGGAATCCTGTTGCCACATAGTCTTACTTGTAGTAGCCGAAGGAGGGCGGTAGCTGCATTGCTTTCGCCGCCGTTGTTGCTGCAGTCGTTGCAGAAGTAGGCTTGCGAGCTTGGAAACTCCTGGTGTGGACCGTGAACCCCCTCAAGGTTTAGGGTTTAGGGTTTAGGGTTTGGGGTTTAGGGTTTAGGGTCTCAAGGAACCCCAACCCCCTAATCCTAATGTAGGAACCTGATGAAGAAACCCTGGGTCTTTACGAGGGTTCTTAAACATGAACCCTAATAAAACGGGGTTATAGGGCCAGGGTTTCTTAATCAGGTTCCTAGGTTACACCCTTGGTCATGAACGAACCCAAGATCCTACATCCCAAACCCTTAAGGTAGGAGCAAACCGAAGAAAGCCATTGCTAAACTACCCCTAGGCCCTAAACGCGCCCTTTCAGGCCGGCCTCTCCCTGCTGAAATCCGTGCTGATCCGGGGGCATGTTGTCGAAGAGAGATTGACGCACGTGGCCGTGCTGCACAGACGTGACCCTCTCGACCTGGGTTTTAGGGCTTAGGGTTTAGGGCTTAGGGTTTAGGGTTTAGGGCTTAGGGCTCAGGGCTTAGGTCTTTGGGTTGAGGGTAAAAGGCTGTTGCAAGGGTTGTTGGCTTTGGGGCGGGCGTAGAAGATGGACATGTGATGAGGAGAGTAGGAGGGCTTTGCATGTAGAGTTCAACAGACTGTGGGTATATCAGGCTAAAGGGGTATAAGGGTTGCCAGATGCATTATGGGGTTGAAGGTATACAGCTAGAGTTTGAGTAGAGGCTTGATGGCTTACTCGTTTGCGGAAGCTTTCCTCCACGGAGACCCAGTGGTCGAGCCCACCGGGCTTTGAGTTAGCCATCTGTAGGGTTCAGGGTTTAGGGTTTAGGGTTTTAGGGGTAGGGCTTGTGCGGCTCGGGGCTCAGCCAGGCCGGCCACCAGAGCTCCTGGGGAGCCCTGGGAAGTGTTCGCTCCGGCGAGGTCTTTGGACAAGAGAACGTACAAGATTCGTGATGGATCCATGCCGCTGTAGCTTCCGAGGCGGCGGATGGACCTCACTTTGGACTCCAACGCTAACAAGGCGTTGAGGAGGTCCGAGTCCCCTTGCACGCGGGAGGTCAGCTCCGACATCATCTGGGCGGGTGACTTGTCTGGGCTCGTCATGTTGCAGACCGATCAGAAGCACGAGTACAAGAAGTAATAGTTCGTGAAGAAGAATAACCAGTTGTTGCAGAAACCAAAATGACGACGGTCTGTGTGTGTGTTGGAACTTGAGCCGTAGCCATTAGGGTTTCGGGTTTAAGGTTTA